CAGGGCTCGGCTAACTCACAGATTGAGCCCTGAAATAACCTCTGGGCTGATCTAAGTCAGGGCATGGCTAACTCACGGATTGAACCCTGAAACAACCTCTGGGCTGATCAAAGTCAGGGCACGGCAAACGCACATAATAAAACCCTGAAACAACCTCTGGTCTTATCAAAGGCAGGGCTCGGCTAACTCACAGATTGAACCCTGAAACAACCTCTGGGCTGATCTAAGTCAGGGCGTGGCTAACTCACAGAATAAAACCCTGAAACAACCTCTGGGCTTATCAAAGTCGGTGCACGGTTAACTCACAGATTGAATTGAAATTTAGCGTATTTAGTTTTGCCGGCCGGCGACGAAAACTTGAGCAAACCACGATATCATGCACCCAAGGACGTTAAAATCCCTCCTTGATAGTCTTCTGATTTTCTGCTGTTTTGTGGAAAATTAGAGCACTGTTTTAAAATTACTTTACACCTGAACAATATTATTTTGATACACGGAATGGTTTTCTACAAACAGCGCGAAGATATAAATCGTATCTTTTATTGTCCGTCAAGAGTTTCAGCCAACCGCAACAGCTGTGCAGAAGTATGTGATAAGATACAATGCGGATTTTCCTTWTTTTAATTAGTTTTTTTACTGAGTGATATTTTCGTACACAATCTTGTTTTTGTTTAGAAAGCTATTAGTTTTCTTCTTGTAGGTGCACTTTTACTATTGTTGTACAGCCACTATACGGTATGTCATTCAGGGCATTGATATTTTATTTATTTCAACAATGTTTATACAAGGATGTCTCATTTAGCAGAGCTAGTTTAAAGAGAGCCCTGGTTTGTTTTGTTTTKTKTTTTTTTTTTTTTTGTCGCAGCTGTCGGTGCGCGTTAAATTTCGTGTCATAATCACGACCTTGCCAGTCTTCGGCGCGTCCCTACATCTGATTGGATGAGTGTAGTACTCTATCATCAAGTGTTTTGTTAATTGAGCAAATTTTTTATTTCTTGCCGTGCCGGTATAGTTGTTGCGTGTGTTCAGACGGATATTCTTCACTTAAAGGTGTACTTAGAGAAAGAAAATKAGGAAGAAAATTTTGTAATTGGGATGCAGTAACTTGATGCTGTTTTCAATTTCAGACCACGTGTCATTCTGTTGAGAATAAGATTCCTTGTTTGAAGTATATCAATATTCATGTTACTTCTCATTTGCAGCCTTTAGTTCAACAAAAAAACGATACTCAAGGAAATAACAAGGGTTATGAACTGGGAAAATATATAAAATGAATACAAAAACAATGATAATTATTCGTAAAGTCAAAACCAGCCGTCATGATTTGCGCGTCATATTTGTTTAGAAACTTGGAAATTCATCTTTTTCTAGTGGTTTTGTGCATCACGCACACTGCCCAGGTTAAGGGGATAGGTTTCACGGGTGCGAATCAAGGGTGGCGTAAAGGTGGTGCGCCCGCCTCTCACCTCTAAGGTCTCGCGTTTTGATTCCTAGACTCGGCTTCGCATGTAAGTAGAATTGCACATTAGGCTTGTCACTTGATTCGAGGCTTTCTCTCCATGTTTTCTGGTTTCCCTCCCTCGGTAAAAACTAACATGCTAAATTCCAATTCGATATGTGAGTTAGCCGTGCCGTGACTTTGATCAGCCCATGAGTTGTTTCAGGGTTCGATCTGTGAGTTTGCCACCAGGGATTTAGATCAGCCCATTTGAAGGTATTTTAGTTAGTTTTTATTGCATATTCAAGATTTATTCCTATTTTTTCCCTTTTTCTTTTTGTGTTTGGTTTTTGTTTATGGAAACAAAGGACTTTGGTCTGATGGTAGCAATAACGTTTCATCATTTTTCTAACGCGGTTTGACAGGTCGCAGCTTGAGGAACTGCTTTGGCGCGTGATAGATCAATTTAAAATATCCAGTATATACTAGTCATAGGCTAAAAGTTGTTTCTCTACTAATTAATTTATCATTATTTACTTTAATTTCTCATAGATATAATTTGATATTTTCATATAAGATGTAATCAGCCTTTTTCTAGCATGGGGTGTATCTGTGGGATGGGTTACTTATGTAACGGGGATGGGTAGAGTGATACCACGTAGGGGACCTAGTGTTCTGTTGTAAATTACTTGCCTTTGGCTTTTTTAAAATCAATCAATCAATCAATTCTAATAATTTCAATCTAGCTTCTGTACTCAATAAACGGATTTGCCATAAGTACTATAAATAGTGGAGTATCTGTTGAAATGGTCCGGTAATCTTACATATTTTCCTTTCATGCACACTAACTTCTTATAGGGTGAGAATAGCGACTCAAATGGTAATAAAGAACCCACAGACGAAGAGAAAAAGACACATCAAAATTATCATCCAAAAGTAGAAATGAAGACATTGATGACTGCCAGACCTGTCCGAGACGTACCTGGCCACACTGGATTCCTTACCTTCGCTACACTCTTTCATAAATAGGTATCATATTACTATACTAGATAGCTAGATATTTATCAAATATAATCCTTGCTTTTTTTGCTTTTTTATGTTTCTTTGCTCATTAGAGACGGGGGATTTTTCATTTATATGGCGTCAACATGCTTTTGAAATCTGTTGCAAAGATTTTGTAGGCATGGGTGTTTCGCGTTGTGTCTCTTATCGACGTTCCTTTTTCTCTTCCTCTCTCTCTCTCTCCCTTCCCTTTCCTCTCCGGTGTCTGTCTGTCTGGCTGGCCATCGGCCCTCTATCTCTTTCATTCTCTTACTTCATTCTTCTTCATCTCCACCTTTCTATTTATTTGAAACTTAAATATAAATGTATAAATGACATCATTAGTATTCCCACCTTTAGATGCGTTTCAAAATGGCTCTTGTTCTCTTTCTAGGGTATCTCTTGTTTTTGTGAGTTTCTTTTCTTGTTCTTTCTCTCCTTGTTTCAAGAATTCCAATTCTTTAACTTTAAAGGTTCTGTTACACGTTGAAACTTTTAGCTGAGACATGTGGTGCAAAGCTGTTGCGAGACAAGTTTCACGAGGGTGTTACGCGGCGCAATTAAGGCCCTGCCTAAACGAGGAAACAAGTTTCCAGGAATATGTTTCCCGCGCGCATGTTCCCCGATAATCCCAAGTTTAGCCACATGCGAAACATTGCTACGTGCAACAAATTTTGCTTCCAAGACGCAAAAATGTTTATGCTGTGCGGCAGAAACATTTCATGCTTCCGAGACGCATGGAAACAATGTTTCCCAATGTTTCCTCGTTTAGCCACGAAAGTCAACATTCTAAAAGTTCGTTACTTAGCAACGCTAGCTCTATTTTGAAAGTGCGCATGCGCTAACCGATGTTGAGCAAACATGTTTCCCGATGTTTCCTGACAGTTTTGCCACCTTTGGAAACATTTAAGAAAACATATTTCTGGAAACATGTTTCCTCGTTTAGCCAGGGCCTTGGGCTTTGAGAAACTTTCGTCGCGAGAAACTAGATAGGACTAGTAGAACTGAGTCTCTACTCGTGCAACGGGAACTTGTGTCGCGAACAAGTCAGGACGAAATTGCGCCGCCTAACATCCCCCTTGTCTCACAACGTCATTGCAATAAAGTTTCAGCTTAAAGTTTCAACATGTAGCAGTGCTTTTATACTTGTAATGCTTATTCACAATCTGAACGTTGAATGCCATGAATACAAACTTCGAATTCTGATTCCCAGTTCCATCGACATGAGATATATAACGTTAAAATCACATATTTCTTTAATGTTTTTAATAAGAATACATTAAAAGTCGAATGATTAAATTTAATCAATCCGAGATAAAGACGATAATTAATTAGTGTTGTTTTTTTATCCTTGATGCACCAGGAGTTTAATATAAGAACCGTAAATGCAGAGTAAATAAAAATAATTTGTGTACGTGCCTTTGATAGTAAAAATAGTTGATGCTGCATGCTGATATTGGATTTACAAAACCAACATGATATCTGTAAACATTTTGACCGAAGTTTCCGAAATCGAACCAAAGACATTCTTAAAGCAAACAAACAAAACCACATCATTGAAATTCAATTCACAATGGAAAAGCGTGTCGAAAATCCTTAAAAGAAAAATTAAAAGAAAGAAAGAGACAAATAGCCAGAATTAAGATGGAATTCGAAATTTTATCACGACTTTTTTCGAGATGTTTTGAATAAAACCTGGTAAAAAAAATTCATCATTTCTTCTGCAGTGGCATGTAAAAGCTAGGTGTAACTACGTTTTCCTAGATGTAAACAATGGTGTTTTATCGGCAGGTGTCCGTGTAGAGAATGACGCGGGAAAAGGAACGGCGCTGATAGGGAAAGCTTCCTTTGCTCTGCACCATCACGTGCCGGCGCCCATAATACAGCTTGCACTGCCTTTGGTTAGATGGCAGGGCCCAGTTGTTCAAAGCCCGATTACTGCTAATCCTGGGTTAACTCTCAATAAGACCTATAGAGTTAATCCTGGATTAGCGCTAATCCAGCTTTGAACAACCCGGCCCAGAACAGTAAAATCCCTTTGCTCTCGGGAATGCAGCCCAATCTGGGGAACAAAACAATAAGTTCCAATTGTCTCAGGAGATTGGAATTCTTTTGTTTTGTCCCCCAGGAGCTGCTTTGACGTCACATGCAAGGGGTATATAGATAGACCTGAACTGATACATAATATTTTCATCCCAAAGTGGGCCATTACTCCTTTCCTTGAGTACCAGAACGTTTTTACTGCTTGATAACTTTTAACACTAATAAACTATTTAATCTTTCAACATGCCCCAAATGGTTTTAAATGAGAAAACATTACGAACAAAAGATATTAGTTGTAATGTTCTTATCTCACCTGGCCACCATCGAAAGTTATCAAGAATGGAAATCTAGAATCATGACTAAAAACATTGGATTATTATATACACATTGTACTCTATAACAATAAAACACCTGCATAAACCATTTCCATTGACTGTTTATAATAAATTCAAATGTCAAATGAACTGAGAAAATCAATGTACTTATCCCTATCTCACCAGAGATAACCGCTAAATGTCAACTTTTAGGTACGCATCGACAAGAAAATACAAAATTAGGGAAAGGGGGAAAAAATTCATAGTAAAAATCAAGTTTTTTCTTGCAATTAATTCCTGGTATTTAGTGAAAGATTTAAGTAAAAGTAAACGTTAAGTGCTAATGGCGTTGCCAATCACTCTCAATTCACCGTCAACTCTAAACAAAGCCAATACGAAGTGAATTATTTAATAAAAGAATTTAGAATTTTACGTCGTTCAAAAACAGACCGTCCGCTGTGATGGGGGTTTCGCTGTGGTTTTGCAATCTCATTTCTGAGGTAAGTTGCAAATTACTTAAACTGTTTAGATAACCTAAAACGGACGGTTATTTTGCAAGATACTGCCGACCAGCAGTTCATAATTTTTTTATTTCTTCAAGAAAAGAATCCCAGAATTTTCAACAATCGCTCTACAGTAACGACGGACTCTTAATGGATTTCTCTGCTGTCGAAAGTTAAATGTAAGTCATGATTTCATTACATTTTCCTATTTATTTGTTTCTAATTTAATTTGTAATGATTTTATTGTCGGAATACTAATTTTGGTTGTATTACATAATTGTATTAAGCGTTTGTTGTCTACCAAAATACCATGACTAGATTCATTGTTTCCATAACATCGTTTAGTTTAGCTTGTTATGTCCTAGCAAAGTTTAGGCTTTTTCTGCAAATCCGTAAAAACACGTTTCATACTCGAGCAAAAAAATCGCTGATAAATGCGTAATGATTAAATCAATTGTGTTGTATTTGCAACTAGCAAAGAAAATAAATGACTTTTCTTATATATAAATATATACTAAGATTCATATATGTACTCGAAATGTTTTAGGAGGTTTTTAAACCTTAAAAAAGACTTTTTTTTTTGATTAAGAAGAGGCAGAAAAGAGTTTTCAATCATACAGATAATTCGCATTAAAGTCTACAACCGGTGTCCTGACTCATCTTTAAGGTTCATTTAGGTTTTTGTGAATTTTTTTTTTTTTTTTTCTCTCTCTCTCTCTCTCTTTTCTTTTCTGATTTTTATCTTAGAGGCTAACAACCCAAGTTTGTTTCTTATCTACACGAGTACGGTTATACAGTGTCTTTGAGGTTTCCGTACACATTTTTTGGCGGTTAGTATCTCTGAGGTTTCGTTTAACAACCTTGGTTTGTATTTTTATCTTCATTGTTGCTCAGCAGTATTCTTTTTTTACCAAATCAAACCACTGGTTATATAATGTCCTCAATATAGACTCCTACGTATATATATCTCCAAGCAACTACTTATCAAGACTAGGTATATATGATCTAAATAATATTAAACCTACGATTATCATCTTGTGTTACGAATGTCGTAAGTAAGATGTTGAATTATGTTTTTTAGCAATCTCAACGTGAATTATTCGGTAATTTGGGTTTTAAGTTACAAGACATAAGTTTTAAGACATAATTTACAATGCATTGTGGGACTGTTTTAGGGGACATATTTCCAAAATGGCGGCTACTTCGTCCCATAAAACAGCCCCACAATGCAATGCGATACCAAGTTGACCCAGTTTTTTCCTCAACCTCGAAATGGCTTGTTATAGCTTCTTTCAGATGTCTTTCTCACGTTTGTTTTTTATGAATTGTTTATAAAGATACAGTATCAAGAACTGAAATACAGACTTCATAATGCTATAGGATATAAAGGACTATGTTTTTTCAAAATTAGAACCGTCTAGCCTATTTCAAGTGTCTTCTCAATAGACCGTTTCCTCAAAGTTGCGTGCGCATCTAACTTGACGGGCCCTGACTCGTCCCCAGTCGTCTCTTATTTTAAGAGCGCGCGCAAAGGGTCAAGGGAAGGGGGTAAAAGATCTTGACCCTTTTTGCGCACGTAAGAGAGAGACGACTGGGAACGAGTCAGTGACGGGCCACATAATTGAAAAACGTAAATCCAGTAAAATTGAGAAGCCAATTTTATATTTACAGAGGAAAATAATCAATTTTATAAATTCTTATCGAAAAAAAAATGTACGATAAATCTCATCATAAAGCTCGTGTTCTGGTTTCGTGGCCCGTCAAGTAACTTATATTTGGATGCGCAAGCAACCTTGAGAAATCGGTCTATAGCCCCCTTCATGGTTTTTCTGCCATATGGAATAGATTATCATAATTAGCATAGAAGCAAGACAAACGTTGTGTCACACATTTACAAACTAAACTGAAAATTGGCGAGAAAATGTGAAAAGGAAATGAGAAAGCCCTTTCTAACATTCGCCGAGACGATAAAACCATATACTCAGGAACCTTGTTTGGGCTGCCTGTGCCCATAGTTAATTAACTATGCTGTGCCTCGAGAACATGTTCCTGCTAAATGACCACTAGCCTGCTTTAATATTTCTTCATTTCGTGACTATTGGTGAATATTGGTCACTATCACTCAACTGGAACAGTCAGTGCACAGGTGACATCAAATACACAAGACRTTTTTAATTGTCGTTATTTATCAATTTACTTGTCTGTACTTATATGATAGACGTTTTACTTCATAGCATGGTTTCTTTTGCGATGCATTTTGAATTGTGTATTGATGGGTTGCAAACATTCCCAACAAAGATAAAAGACAGAAGCATGGCGGCCATTGTGGTGCCGTTAACAATGGATGCTAATAAGAACAAGGGCGGATCCAGGGGGGCAAAGGGGGAAAGCAGAAAAAAACGATGCTTTTTTATATTGTTTTCCGTTGTGTTGACGGAAGAAACTCAATTAGCCCCCCCACCAAACTGAATTAGCCCACCCCCCTAAATTTTTTCTGGATCCGCCCTTGAAGAAATCTTTTGTTGAGAATAGAGCCGGCAGTATTAAACCGTATTGTAGGCCCCGACATGTTGATGCACGTCATTGGCTCATAGCATTTGATTGACGGTAAAAACTGCCCTTATTTTTGTTATCGACGTCTGTCTTCTGAAAGCAACGGTCGACATTGGTATGGAATGTCAACATCTCGATCTGACAGAAAATTTCATTTTCTTCTCTTTTAACACTTTTATGACACAAATTATTTCCTGACGATGAGGTACAAGGATAAGGGAAATTATAAGCTTATATCTACACTTTCTGCATAGGTGAGTCAAAAATATCGTGCGTGACAATTGTTTTCTTTCAAGCTACGCTTCGAAGAAAATTTGATTTATAAATTGTTTGAATGACAAAGAAATGTAGAATCAGTTTTTCTCTTTTTATATACATATATTTTTTATTTATTTATTTATTTATTTATTTATTTATTTATTTGTTTGTTTGTTTGTTTGTTTGTTTGTTTATTTGTTTATTTATTTATTTTTTTGCGTCCATTTTTTTAATTTTTCCAGAAACCGTTGCGAGGAAGACGATCAATTTCCTTGACCTTTCCTTTCTTTTTGAATTGAAAAATAGGAGAATCGCAATACAAAACGTATTGCGATTTTGAGCCTCCGAGTACGGGTAGTGTATATTGGCGGCGTTGAAAGAAAATATATACCGTATTTGCCTTAGTATGGAAGCGACGAAGGCCAATACGGACTGTATTAACTATCCACCAATATGAACCCGTATCGGAGGCTCAAAATCGCAATCAATAAAGTGTTTATTTCATGTGTTAGTGTTTTCACTTTATCCCCACTTGCGTTACGTATATTCACAGTATTTTTGTATAGAGGCAATTTCCAAAAGCAATTTTCCCCCTCATAGTCTTTATTTCTTGCTGCGCATACTCGATTATTTCTTCGAGCATGCGCAGTAAGAAATAAGGGCTTTGGGTACGAGATTGGAGTTACGGATTTTTTGTTTGCTTCGTTATTCGTGCAATTGAAGTTTTGTTTTATAGCGACAGTTCTCAAAAGAAATTTTTCTGTATTTTGTTTTTACATAAGGATTTTGGCACATGATTTTTCCCCTCATAGTCTTCAGTGATGTAGTGTTTTGCATTTAAGTACCCAAACCCTTCTCAGCTTTTCAACGAAAAATGGCTTGGAAGGTTCTGGGTAGCAGAATGACATGCTTTCTTACTCGTGCACTTGGAGTACAGTGAGACCGATGTGAATAGTATACTTTTATTTGCCACGAGTCAATCATCTGCAACGTGATGCCTTATCGATAAATTACTTTAAATGGGGCAATATATTCGTCGGGTTCTTATCACTCATGTAATTTACCCATATTAGTGCATTTATATCAAGTATGCGTTCTGGTGCATTGTCACCGAAAGGCGTAGGAACGAATTTGGAAGATTTTGATTATCTATCGAGGCTTGATAAGTGAAATTTTCAGTCTTTTCAAGAAAAGAAAATACATGCTTTGAAATAAGAGTCAATGTCTTGATCTTGACCACAAGGAGAACGACGCATAAAACAGCTTGACATGGTAGGCTATTCTCTGTTTTATCATTTTGGTGGTAATGATTTTACCTAACCTTATATCTAATCGTCTGTAGATAAGATTGTCCTATTTATTTGGTGGTGAATATTTGAACACAAAGAAGAAATAAATGGATAAAATACAGATAAAAAGCGGGACTGTATCCATATGAATTATTTTCTCATAGCTATCCCAACTTCTTTTTCGGTTCCTGTGAGCTCCTAGTGAGCTCCTGTAGCTTTCTACCTTTATTCTGAGCCATAAATTCCACTAAATGCATATATTAAAGCGTGCTGATTTTTCCATTATCAATTTGGTCCAATTTCGAGGATCGTTATAATTAAACTTAATTAAGAAGAATGTTTCCAACGCTTTTTACAATTTAAAACCACAATAAAAAATTAAATTGCTTCCATCTAAAATAAAAATAAAATACACTTAAATTACATGTAATATTTTTGAATTAAGTAAATATTTTATGACATAAATTTTTATGTTTTTTTCCTTATTTTTAGCAACGTATTTTTTTAAGTTATGACCTGAGCCGTAACACTGACCTAATAAGAAAGCGCAAAAGCGTAAATAAGATCATTTATTCATGAAGTTTTGCTTATTGGCCTTTTCCATAACCATTTGAGGTGTGAGGAAAATAAGGAAAACTAACTGTTAAAAAGTTCATTTACAAGTTTATTGGGTGATATTTGTGATTTCGATCCGTCGATCCATTATAATTGTCAATATTTGTCCTGATAATTAAAAAAGAATAAAAAAGAATGATAACAGACTAATCATATTAGTTTTAAATAATTGTCATTTTCACGTTATAATTGGAGCTAGACGTGGATGTGAAAATGAATTTTTTTTACCTTTTTTTTTTTTTTTGAATACGAAAGAATGTAAGAATGTTAGACTTGAACGACAAATATAAAATACGTATGTTAAACCCTTGATGAAGCCGATATGAAATACAAGATGGTAACAAAAAAATTTCAAGCACTCGAATGCAAAATTCAAGTGATGAACTGCAAATGCAAACCATCAATTTTGGCGTGGAGGGAACAGCGCCATAAAAGAGAGACGTTGGAAGGCAAAGTTGCGCTGAAGAGAAAACTCCCTCTTTCTTTAAGAAGTAGGAATTTAATCAATTTGTTTTTTTAACCACTGAGCATCATTAAATTAGGTTCTTGAAAAAGTAAGCCTAGGTGGATAAGTTGATGAAAAATTATCCTGCAACGAAATATCGATGAAAAGCTCGAATTGAAGAAAAAAAAAACCGTCAGAGGAAGAATAAATTTGAAAAAAAATTTCGCGGATTTATACTTCGGTTTAAAGACCCAGACTGCTGCATGGTGTTGTGTTGCCTGCACTGAATTTCTGCCGCCTTGTGAGATAGATAAACTAAGAAATATAAACCCTTTCTTTATCTACACTCTCAAGAGGGTTTTACATAGTACTCTTCAAGAGTTTAGAAAATATCTTTTCATATATATTTCTTGATTTGATTTATGAAATCAAATTTTGAAAAATTTTAGAAAATTTTTAGAAAATATTTTTTAAATATATATTTCTTCTATTTTTTTAACCATTTATGAAATCAAATGCTGGAAGTCTTTTAGAAAATTTTATATATACATATATTTCTTCTATTTTTTAACCATTTATGAAATCAAATTTTGGGCCCAATGTGGTTTTAGTTTAGTTACCATGCAGGTCCAAACGCGCGCAGGGATTYATTTTTTGAAGGCAAGTCACGTGAGCTGATCAGTTATTTTCATTGTTATGTTTTCGTCAAAGCCGTCATCTCTTAGTTTCTATTTCAATCAGAGTGTCCATTTCTTTTGTTATTTTTATTTCTTTAGGTGAATAATTTTAGACCTCAGATATCACTTTAAAAATTTAATCCAATGCGGTCTCGCCTGGTCTATTTATAGCAATTTTCGTATGACTGCAAAAAGCTCACTGCACGAACACGGTCGTGAGACGACAAGACATACAAGATATCGCTGTCTTGCCTTACCGTGCCGCAAAAACCCTTCAGGATTTATGTTCATTAATTTATTTTAATTCTATTATTGTATTCAGTGATTGGTCAAACTTTAGCTCAGGGCGATCTCATCTCGTCATCTTATCACTGGCGTGCCTTGGCGTGCCGCAAATCCTTCCTGGATTTAGTTCATTTTTTTAGGTGATGATCACTAACTAAGCCTTGAAAGGGGGCCTCAGAAAACATTTTCACCGCAACGCAGTCTCAGCTTCGCGTCTTTTACTTGTCAATAGGTTACGTGCCGTTCCGTGCCACAATTGGTCACATTTTACCTCAAGTCGGCCTCACCTCACTGCCGCACCGTGCCGTGCCGCTATACCCTTCTGCTTGATTTAGCTTTTATTTTGTCCAATGATCAGTGGTCACATTTTACCTCAAGTCGGTCTCAACTCGCTGCCGCACCGTGCCGTGCCGCAAAACCCTTCTGGATTTAGTTTATTATTTTGTTGGATGGTGGTCACTAACTAAGCCTTAGAAAGGTGCTCTAAGCATTTTACCACAACGTGGTCTCACCTCTTCTACTTAGCTTAGCTGTTACGTGTCGTGCCGTGTCGCTAAACCTTTCTTCTGGATTAAGCTTATATTATTTTGTCCAGTGACTGGTCATATCTTACCTCAAGTCGGCTCCACCTCACTTTCGCACCGTGCGGTGCCGCTAAAACGCTTCCTGGCTTTACTTTATTATTTTGTTCAATGATGATCACTGTGTAGGCCTTAAAAAGCGCCGTATAGTTTACAAAAAACACGTAGCATAATCAAAGTTATTAAATTCAACCATACTAACATACTAACACACTCAAATCATATACAAATATTTCAACATTTCATTAATTCATGTAAAATTAATATTAAAAGTATTGTCTCAGGCTTCAGGTGTACTTTGATTCGCTCAACGTAGTCATAATACATATATACACACATAAACTTTATTCATACTCGAATATACTCATTTCAATAAAGTTAGTCACCAAAAACCTAGAAAGCTGTGAATCATGGGAAATATTTCATATTCAACAAGTAAAGCTTTTGATACAAACTGCAGCAGTTGAGGATGCTCAGAGGAGGTGAACTCGTAACTGGTAGAAAATCTCAATTCCATCAACAGTTATCAAGTGGTTAAAACATGTAAAATGTATCTACCCATAATCCTTGCCGGTCTCAGCTTTGTAGCTTTTCAGGTGACTAACTTTATTGAAATAAGTGTATACAGGGTAACCCTAATAACTAATCTCTTCGAAATATAAAAGAGAAAAGAAAATAATATACATAGATAGAAAACAATAATGACTGAGTATGAGAATATATATGAAATATATAGAGATTACTTCATAGAAAGTGCGACGTACGGGATTATATTCACGAGTTGTTTGTGTAAAGCACGAACGAAAAAGTTCTGAGTCTTGAACGGGATAATGACTGAATAAAATTAGAAAATAGCAAACTAACGATTTAAATATGTAAAAATAGTTATCTATTATAATATTGTTTACATATGACTAATATAAACTATTCAAAATTCAAAGATTTTAATTGCAGACTTGGAATTCTTTAGGTCTGTGATATTTTTAATGTTATCAGGAAGATTATTCCAATATTTTGCTGCTGCATATCGGCTTATTGACTCGAAACTTGTAGTCATAATATTTAAGATTCGGTCTGTAATCAAATTCGGTCACTTTGAAATGTGAATATTTGAAACCCTGTTCATGATTGTTGAGTTTTAACAAAGTTGATAAAGGTTTGAACGACTTCACAATCTTAGTTTTATTCGACACCTAAGAATCGTGAACAGAACTTCTTGTATAAGCTATCTAGTTTCAAATCATGTACGGTTTTATCGTTACAATCGATCTCTTTGCGTTTTTCATTTACTTTTGAATGGATAGAACCTTAAAGTGTTTCCCAAATCAGATTATGGGTTTTGATACGGTTTCTTTTATAGGTGTTTTTCCCAAGCTTTAGCGGTTAAAGTGTCTGCCAACCGATTACAGTATTGGAGAAGCGCCTAAAAACAAACCCAATGTGAAAAAGATTATTATTATGACGCGAGGGCGGGAACTAACGTCTTCGTTACCGATTGTTTTGCGTAGCATTTTCTTAACGAGTCATAATCAAAATCAGTAAAGTATATATCAAAATTAGGAATAAAGAAACAGAGAGAAAAAGCTTAGTTTTTACCCTGTGTTCAAAAGTAAACATCCCAAAAGTAAACAATTCCTTAGTTACGTTATTGGCTCGAAGATGAATTATCGCACACACACACATTAACAAATCATGGCACTAATCTTAAAATCTTGCTCCACTTGTCCTCTTATCTTAAATCAAAACATCGATTTATTAAGTAYGACTGATCAAAAAACTGTTCAACAAGAAAATGTTTTGAAGGCCAGTCTTCATTCAATAAAATTTCATTACTTTTCCAGTGTTTCTCAGTTTTTCTTGAACTGCGATAAAAATAGCTTTACAGACGTGTCATCTTAAAAACACACCTTAAAACCTGTAAACAATGAACTGGAATCCAATTGGACGTCAGCCCGTTATAAATTTTTAACCACAAACCTCAGCACCACTTCCAGAGGAAGAACCTGCCTGATTTAAGAGAGTTCAAAAAGCTGTGTGAATATACTAATAGCGTTTGCATTTGCAGATACAAGAGTCTCAACATTCACTGTAGTACTTCGTGGACAAAACTGAACCTCGAGAGGAAATGATTTCTCTTTTCATCTTGAGCTTGCTTGCTGTTGCCAGCTCAAGTACACAGAGGTACGTGACTTAATAATTTGATTTTCTTCGAACTTTAATAGCTATTTTCATAGCTTTTTTTTTGGATGGCCATGAAACGATAAGCAAGTGTAACACTATCAATGTGACAATCTTGGGGAACCATATTTGCACTTTCTGAGATAACTTATCTCACACAGTGTCATCATTCAAAAAAATCGAAGACTATTCCCTAAATCATTACCTGTGGATCAAGACAATGGAAAAATTAACATTTTAAATGACTTCAATCCTACTGAGAAGGGAATTTTTTTTTTGTTTTTTTTGTTTTTTTGATATTACCCCAAGATGGTTGGGAATTAGTGCTAATACTCCATTTTGCATTTCCGTTCAATGACCATGAAGAATAGTTCCAAGCCGAGGTTGGAGTTGCCTCTCGTGAACTATCAACCTATTTTGATCATCCTAGGATCCTATTTTTCTTTTCATTATTGTTTTTTCCTCGTCAATTTTAATGTTAATCATGTTTGTACTGTATGTAAATTGTATGGAGAGGGAACATCAATTGGGACAAAATTTCTGTTTTCTTCGCCAGTCACAAAATTTGTATGTCTCAAGTTTTATAAAATGCATATGTTTATATTGTGACAAATAAACTTAACTAAACTAAACTAAAAGTATGGTTTTGTTATGCGACGAAACTCCAACCTCAGCATGAAACTAATATTCCCCTGGTCACTGAACGGAACTGTAAACCCGAGGCGGTCCATTCTAAGAATTTTTAATTTGTAAACCCTACTTCTCATATTCATACGAAATGGAAACTAAAGTAAAACTCGAAACTAGAAGTTGTTCAAGTCGATTATTTACTGAATGATTTCTTGCTATTATTTTAGCATTTTTTGATAATTCCGGCTCTTTCTAACTCTGAACACTTCATCTAAAAATTCTGCGAAAATAAAGAATAAGAATAAACAAGTGAGAACAAAAACCGCCAAGGAAGAAAAACACTCTTTATAAAAAATCGTAATTAAAACTCATAAATCCTTCATATTTTCTTATTCGATTCCAAAAGCAGTGCCTGGTGGACAGTGGCCCGGGTTTTTTTCATTTATTTGTATATTAAATATTTGTTAAGATAGGAAAAAGTGGTTCTGGTCGGTAAAAAGTGGTGTGCGTGAAACGAGACCAACCGTATTGGTTGCTACGGCTCTGAAAAAAATATTTAGTAAAGGTTCATGCCTATTATTATTTAAATTTATTTTAGAGTGCAAACAATATATCCGTGATATACTAATTACTAAATTGTTCAAAATAGTGCTAGTTAAACAAAAGAAAATAATAGAATTAGCATAAAATAGTGTAAGTTAGTATTACTAATATTTCACGGATCTATTATATTGTTTGCACTCTATTAAATTTCTGCAGTGATAAGTATCTTTTTGGGAGCAACGGTTTCGTCTTTACAGATTGTCTAAAAAGTTTTGCAACACTAATGTATCATAACCATGCTGTAAAATAAGCAATTTTCAGTGGCGGATCCAGGATTTTTCAAAGAGGGGTTCCGTTTCTTAAACTGTGTATAATTCTCTTTTGTTTAGTAGATGTTTGACACAAAAATTGGCTCTAATTTAATATAGCTATAATGACACGACCCAACGCAAAACTACTAATATTTTTTCATTAAAATTTATATAAGACATATTTCTATTTCCTAAAAGATCAAACCTTCAAGGGGGGTTCCGTGGACCCCTTCGACCCCCCTGGATCCGCCACTGATTTTACTTTACAATTCGTATTTTTCAAGTACTAATTAGACGTGCGAAGAATTACAATAGAGATATTGGAGAATATTGAAAACTTTAAGAAAGGTGTGAATATTAATTAAAGTTGATAATGTAAACTCCTTGGAAACGTCTTAAGGTAGAGAAAAATAATCCTGAATTCAGAAACATCTTTTTTTTGTAATTTTTATCTTTGGATTTAATTGCCGTTGTAGTAGTAACAGAGTTCGAGGTCTCCAAATAAAGTACTTTCTTCCATTGAATACGATACCAAAGAGTTTGGCTCTGGAAAAAATGAATAGATGTGGATATGGAAACTAAAATCATCGATATCGCTAAAAATATATATTAGGAGAAAAAACTTATCATGAACAAATGTTTCATCTAACATTTTTATCGGGAAAAAACAGAATGTTTTCGTCCTTATTTGATGTTGAGAAGTTTGTTCTAACTTGGAAAAGTGACTTTGATTTGATAAAATGCCAGAATCAACAATCGATAATGCTGAATGATATAAAAACTCGTTCAACGGTGAATCACCGGTCGTTAAAACATCCCAACAGGGTTTCGTTTTATGAAATCTCTTATTGGCTCGATTTGCACTGCAGGCAGTAATTTCTAGGCAGGATGTCAGTTCAAAATAGTGTCGAGTGTTTGCCAATTTTTGCGAGAATCACATTTTTATTTTGTCAAATTTTTGGGTTTGTGGGATGGGCAGAGGTGGGGAGGAGTGCAACCCCCCCTCCCCCTACCCCCACTTTAAAAACTGTTCCGCCGTCCCTGGTATTCTTGGAGTTTCTACAGAGGACACTAACCAACATCATTCCCTTTCATTGTCGATCTTACTTCCATTTTTACTCGTGTAGTAATCGCGTTGCTTTGTTTCATTTAAAGTAAAAAGAACCATGTGTCTTCTATCCTGGACCGAATCTTGATACACGAGAAGTACGACAAACGACTCAGACCCAACTATGAAGGTAAAAGATATCATTATTATTATTATTATTATTATTATTATCATTATTATTATTRTTGTTGTTGTTGTTGTTGTTATTATCATCATTATTACCGTCTAGAAAATAGACTTGAAATTCAAACGAGAAAGAGGAGAGATCGAGAAAGAGGACTGAGAAGAGAGGAAAAATCTCCTATTTCTCCTCTTTCTATCATTTCCATTCCAGCCAATGTTGTTTTCATGATTTTCCTGATTTGATAATGATTTTATTTTCTCCTTATTACCAGACGGACCTGTCATTGTTAAAGTTGGTTTTTGGGTTCTCTCAATCGATTCGATCAATGTCGTAGACATGGTAAGTCCCAAAAGATTTGTCAGTAGTGCTGGGCCCGGTTGTACGAAGGGTGGATAGCGCTATTCAGTGGAAAAATCCGATCCAGTGGATAAGTCGATGCTGTTATCCAATAAATTTATCCACTAGAAGTTTTATTCGTCGGATAATGCTATCCACCCTTCGTACAATCGGGCCCTGGCAGACTTCGCTTAATGGAGGGACCATTACGTAATTGAAGAAAATATCGAGCACGCACTTGACCTAAAAGTGAAAAATATCGCGCAACCTCTCCTTTCAGTAAAGACTATATCGAGCAAACACATACACAAATTGCGTGCAGGGGTGTTACAAAAAAAACAAATGTCATAATATGTATCCATATCGTGTGTCTCCTAATGCTCAAACATTTAAAAAAAAAACTTTTGGAAATTACATCTGGTCTGCAATATTTCCCTTCACAGTTCCCTGCGCCATTTTGAAAGGTAGCCGTGCCTTTGCATCGAAGCGAGACGAACGGTGAGCTTGCAATGATAGAGACATGCGAATAATTGTCTAAGGTGTTAAAAAGGTCTCTATCATGGCAAGATTGCCATTCGTCTCGCTTCGATGCAAAGGCATGGCTACCTTTCAAGATGGCGCAGGGAACTGTGAAGGGGACTATTGGAAAACGTTACGCCCAGGGTAAAGAGGTCTATCGTATTTATTTTTAACATTTTTATTCCTTTGGTAGGATTACTCTTTGGATATATTTTTGCGGCAGTCGTGGAAGGACGAACGCATGGCACACGAGCTCAATAAAACAATGTTTCTAAGTAACACAGTAATGGACCGAATCTGGATGCCTGACTCGTATTTCGTTAATGCAAAACATGGAGCTTTCCACAAAGTCACTAAAGATAACATGATGATTATGATTGATCCAGTAGGGCTGGTGCAGTATAATGCAAGGTACGTGCAAATCATTTCACAAATAAGCATTTTTTTTTTTTTTTTTTTCCAGTCCGGTATTCTAAAAAATCGTGCGTTCTGATTGGCTGTTTGAGCGAGCGGTATTTTGTTAGTATCTGTCCGCGCGCGCGGTCCGGTATCCTTTGCCGCTAAACAACAACACAAAACGATTACAAAAACAAGTAAAAAAAAAAAATACGGGGAAAAAATAAATAAGTTATTTACCGTACTATAGTCGGTCCGGATAGGGAAAAACAGTGCCCTTGGTCCGTATATTCAAGACCTCGGGCACAGTTTTTCCATATCCGGACCTCCTGGCAGGTAAATAACATATATATATTCACTTCGCCTTCGGCGAATAATTGTTAAATAGTATACTACCTGCAGTCTATTCTTTCATTATTGCTCTTTATTTATATCTTGCACTAGGATATCATTTTTAGCCTATACACTAGGTGGCATACTTTTTGATTCTTTTTTTATATGACTGGTTTTTTTTTTTTTGTTTTGTTTTGTTTTGTCTTTTAGAGTAACTATTCGCCTATCTTGTCCCATGGATCTACGAGCTTTCCCAATGGATACACAAAGCTGCCCTCTGACTATAGAAAGCTGTAAGTTACTGTCGTTATGAAGGTAGCAAAAATGTTTTTTGTGGGAATATACCATGAAATAGGGAACCTGATATTTGAATGATCCAGAATGCAAAACAAATGTGAAATCTCAGGAATCCATTGGGTCAATTTTCGGAATTGGGAGCTCAACATCGATTATGATGTTCTTTTTGCCCTAACAGGAATAATAAAGCTGTTGTTGTGTTTCTTTTATTCTCTCCTAGATGGTTACAGCACTGAACACATTGTGTTTGAATGGGAGATATCATCCAATGATGGCATGGGTTTTGTACCTGATAATCTGAAAATGTTACCGCAATACAAGCTATCTCGATTAGAATTGACCACTTTACACAACAAATATGTCGTTGGTATRTAACAAAGAGATCCTTAAGGCCCTGACAAGTGGTCCCAACATTTTATTTTAACCACCATGTTTATAGCCAACACTTATCGAACCAAATATACTTGTGCGTAATGTTTTTCCACATTTCAGACCACRCGTCATTCCCTTGAGAATAAGATTCTTTGTTTGATTTAAATAACATTCAGGTGTCTTCTCATGTGCAACCGTTAAAAAATAAATATAACTCCAGGGAATGACACGTGGTCTGAAACGGGAAAACAGTGGATTAGTTCTATTTGGTTAAAATGCGGTACAGCTGTTTGTCATGGGTTGGGTAGGTCAAAATGTTGGGTCAATTGTTGGGACTGTTTTTCAGGGCCTTCAGACCTCTAGCTTGTAATGTTTTCCAGCATTGCAGACTACGTGACATTTTCTCGAGAATAAGATTATTTGGTTGATTTGTATCCATATTCATGTGTCTTCTTATGCGCAATCATTAAACAAAGAAATAATGCTCTAGGGAATGACACGTATGAAATGGTAACATGATGCCCAAGCTATAAAGGTCTCTATTACTGGGAACCTCCATTAAAACATCCGTATTAAAAACGCTTCATTATCTAACCTTTCTTTCTTTGGTTTGTCTCAAGGTAACTGGTCAGGAATCAAAGCTACCTTTACATTTGAACGACTCTACAGCTATTTTATAATTCATGTATATGGACCATGTTCTCTAATAGTCATCATTTCTTGGGTGTCATTTCTACTTCCACGTGAACAAGCACCGGCGAGAATTACTCTAGGAGTTACTTCAGTCCTGACAGTGGTCACTGTGCTAAACATGCTCAATAATACGATGCCAAAGGTATGGTTTGTTTTGTTGTTTCACGGTCATCGCATGCAGTGCCTCAGCAAGCCCTCAAAGTCATTCACCCTTACTTCAAGAGACGCTTAAAAGAACTCGAATAGACCTATCGCGAATTCGCTTGACTGACCACGAAACAATGGTTTGAAGTCGAGACTGAACTTGATTCTTTTATTCGTCAAGTTCAACCTCGACTTGAAACCATTGTTTCGTGACCAGTCAAGCGAATTCGGGAAAGGTCCATTGGTGAGACGAATGACTTTGACAAAAAAGATCGTACTGAGTAGACTTTGTTTACTAATGTCCCAACCGCGTTTGCCGGCCATTTTTGAGAACGGTCTATGAGAACGCACAAATATGTCGAAAGCTCAATTCTGATTAGTTGACATTGAGTTTGTTCTGAAGGTCAACTCAACTAGATAGTTTTTTGAATGGCAATATTTAAAAGACGATCAACCAATAATTTTTTGTCATCTTACACCCACCTATATTTTACTCTGTAGGTCAACTACGTCAAGACAATTGACAAATACTTGATTGGGTGTTTTCTGTTCGTTTTCGCAACACTATTAGAGTATTCTTTGGTTTTGTGGTTTTCCAAGCGCTCAAAGAAATACAAACAGGAAAAAGAAGAGTGGACAAAAAAATACAATTTGTATACAGATAAAGAAGAACAAGAGAAAATCAATTGCAAGCAAAAGGTATGCATATGAAATTGGTCAGTGTCCATGACGGTAGTACTCTCGCATCAGCCTAGGGTTTTGGATTTGATTCCTGGACCCGGTATTCTTCGCACGTTACGTCATCGCAGCCATGTTGGTACCATTTAACAAAAGATTTTTCATTAGCATCCATTGTTAATGGTACCACAATGGCCGCCATGTGTTTGTCTTTTAACTCTCTTGGGAATGCTTGTAACCCATCAATAGCATGTGAGTAGAGTTTGTTTGGTATCTCCTCAATTCGAGGATTTTTCTCCGGGTTCTCTGGTTTACCTCCCGCAAAACCTAACATTCTTAGATCTGTGCGTGAACCGCTCCCTGACTTATATCGATCAGCCCAGAGGTTGTTTCAGGGTTCAATATGTGAGTCAGCCATTACTTAACTTTGATTGGCCGAGAGGCCCTTCCAGGGCTGATAAAATTTAAAAGGTTGAATGTGACTCGGGCTGTTCTTACGTTAGTATTAATTGTCATAACTATTGATTATATCTCACCTCTTTTTTGTAATTTTCTTTATTACAAGATGAACAATGGTAAATTATGTAGCTCTCAGCTTGTTGTCATGGAACAAGAACAGAATGAAGCACTTCTTGGCAGAAGATTTGATTCACCAGCCAAAACCAGAACGAGAACATCTACACTATTGTTAACAGCACCTTTTCCTTGTAACAAAATCAAAGAATTCTTGTACAGTGAGACATTTGTGTTGGCAATAGATGGATACGCTCTTGTTTTTTTCCCCTTTGGTTTTATAACTTTTAATGCAGTTTACTGGATTTCTTTTCTTTCGTTTTCCGATATTTTTGGACTATGAACAAAAATTGTTTCGAAATTTACCAACCAAAAGACGTCATATCTCCCTTGCGGTCACTTTTCGTGTTTCATTTTCTTATCAACACGAGACTTGTAATACGTCTGTTGCTATCTCATAAGGGGGATGACTATTACAAATTAAAGGCTTTACAAGGAATGTAAGGAGATTTACTAAGGACATTACTGAGAAATTCAGCAAATGGGGTGTGTCCATTTGGATCCGCCCTTTGAACTTTGAGAAATCAAGAGAGAAAAATATGGCTATTCCACTTCAAATCAAAGATGTTATCTGAACTGCAAACCACAAGAATGGTTCATGAGGACAAATGAATACATAAATGAAACGATACAAAGAGGTRCCTTTGTAAGGATAAGAAACGCGAAATATGAATATTACATTAATATTAAACCTAATTTTATYGAAAAATTGAAAAGAAATCATCAAAAAATGGACATTGACACAGACTGCGTCACTCATGTGATAACGTTTTAGAAAGGTTCCAACACTAGTTGAAACCAAAGCATTTCAACCGTAGTTATGAAAACACTGGGAGACATTGTCTACACATATATACACAGTAACAAATATTGGAGTAATACGTAGCTCAAATATGTTATGGTCTGTATCGCGAAACGCATCATCAACTTACGCGATTATTTCCAGCCATTTTTTGATTCTCTCATAGAGAATGCAAGGGGACCCAGAAGAGACTATTGACAACGTCATAGAAGTTGCTCGTACCATCAAGTTTCTTGATATTTCCTGCCATTTTTCAATTCTGTTATAAAAAATGCAAGGGTGTCGGTAGTCGAGAAAGATATTTCCCGCCATTTTTAATTCCAATCCTCATATAAAATATGCAAGAGCGTTGTGGACACAGGGAAGGCAATAAACAAAGTTTACGGGTCAGAAAACTCAATTCCCTTACCTACTTTAAGTGCTTATTTATTTATTGCAATATGGCGTTAGTTTACATTACTACGGCCATCGCAGAACTCAGTAAATTCTTTGGACCTTGAAAAAAGGATGCACCATGATTCGTTTCGCCGCGGTTGGATGGGCAGTCGGATTTATGTCAGAGCAAGAAAGACCAAAACTCGGACATGACTGTAAAACACATGATGGAGTGGACGCACCATAAATACGTGAAACAATTACTAGCCATGTCACGCTTAATTAAAAGAAATATTAGTTGCAAAATTGCTAAGATTTACACAGACTTGAACCCAATGTTCTGCTCCACTAATTTCCACTATTTCGTACGAAATAGCAGCAAAATAGTTGCAATTTTGGTTTTGTTTCACGGATATTTGGCACGGATATATGGCGTGCACTTTATGACACGTATTTTTATTATTAGTAACTGAACGCACAATATCATTCCAGCAAGTTTTGGTTGATGAATTATTTATTCCGCAATATTGATGGTTTTAACCATTCCCAAGAGAATTAAATAACAAAAGACACGRCGGCCATGTTGGAAGATATAACAAAAGAATTCAATGACAATTCTTTTGATAAAGTCCTCCAACATGGCCGACGTGAAAACCATCAATTGACACAAAATGTTAATAATTATTAACTATTATTATAATTAAAATTAATTATTGTACTTCAATATTTATATTACAGCATCGCTAGTATGTTGAACGTCATGCTTAAGCATTTCATTAATATGCTTAATTTTTAAGAAAAATCTTATAGGTTTAGTTTGAATAAAATCAAATTTCTTAAATTGTGTGTCTCATCGCTGACGCATGCTCATAAACCGTTTCTGGGATAGCTTCTTAGTGCATTGTGGTCTAGTTTGAGTATAGAACATATTTTACATCATGCCTTATATGGTGCTGCTTGTACCCAACCTAGACCACAATGCATCCGGATTATCGCGCTCAAGAAAGGGCTATGCAAGAAAAAATGTAAATTAAAATTTACATGCGCAATGGCGTCATTATAAGGCCAGCCGTAGTAAAACTTTGTAAATTTTTCCCACGCGCTGCAACATTTCGAACAGCGCAAAAATTCTAGATTTATCCTCGATGTTTTTAGCACATAAATCTTAATTGGAGTTATTCAATTCATTTGCATTCACGTTGTACAGGAAAGACGCCGAATGATGTAGGAGAATATTGAAGGACAGCAACTTGAAGGAAAGAAAATATAGAACAGAGTGTCAATAAAAGAGATTACAGCTTATAGATTTGTTAGGAGAGTTATTGCAAGTGCATCTGAATAACTTATAATGATAGATATATTGACGCTTATAGCTGCTGAGTAATTAGTGCTAGTGTTAGGCAAAGCGAATGATGGTCGAACGCAGATAATGATATCGTTAAAGTGCAAACAATTAATCCGTGAAACACTAATTACTAAATAGTACAAAATAGTGCTAATTAAACAATAGAAAACAATGGAATATGCATGAAATTGTGCTATTTAGTATTACTAAAGTTTCACGGTTATAGTGTTTGCACTCTATAATGAGGCTATATTTTGTAAAACCATGAGGTACATGCTTAGAGTGTTTGTGCCTCGGTTTTGTAAGTCATAGTTTTTAAAATGTTACTCATTCTTGGAAGTTTTTAACCCTTCTGCTTCATGCAACCAGGTAGGTAACCAATAAATAGTGTTTTCCATGTCTTGAAGATATTGTTTTACCTAAAGGGAATATTTAGAGCTGTTTTAAAGCTTTCTTTATGCGTTTTGAAGAGCGAAAAGCAAGCACAATCAACTCGTTAGCATTTGTAGCTCTATCCAAATATTTCTGTACTTCACCTATTTAAAATGCTGTAAAAATTTTAATCTAACTTTAAACCTTATGAGGACAGGATGCAAAACTTTATACAAGATGAAAGATTTCATTCCTGTAGCAGAATTTAAAGAAAATTATAATTTAAAAGGTAGTTTAATCTTTAAACTTTTGATAAAAATTTTAAACATTTTTAAAGGTCTTCAAAGACCTTTTATTTGCGGTATGTTTTTATTTTTACTTTATTTTTCCCTTCATTCCTTTTATTTACAAGACTTTATTAGCCACAAAATGCAAAAATTTAGTTAAAGAAGATAATTCATTTTGATTTTCCTAGGCTTTTTAGTATCTTTATGTAAAGTGGGTTTCCTGTGGTTGGCTTCTCTCGCTTTTCTTAGATTCCTGAATATTGACTAAATATACAAGAGGAAAAAAGTGGAAGTAGGGCTATACTTTGGAATATAGTGAATATTATTACCAATAAAACAGGTACAGCCCCACCTAAAGCCTCTTTTCCCAGGGATTAGGAAAGACTGCCCCCAAGTTTGACTGATATTTCCTATTTTGTTGGGCTACCTGTGGATTTGGTGGAACGTTTTGCACCAAAACGTTTGTGCTTTCCTCTCCAACTCTGGTACTCTTCCAATGACACTCCCTCTTTGCTGATACTCCTTTTTGCCACCCTCTTTGCTGTGCCTTTCATTTTCAATAGCTGTACAAACATAGACCAGAATACCATGATATTTTTTTATACCAGAAACAGTGTCACAGTAATTCCCACTGAGCAAAAGAAAGTGTGTAAGGGAGTGTGGTAGTAGAGGTCAATGATACCATCATGCAAACGTCCTTTTTGCTAGGCCAAGAAGACAACTTCTTTTGTTATTGTCCTTCAAATTGAGCTGCTTTGATGTCACATGCAAGGGTCCTTTCTATTAGGGTGTCGCAGGCAACCCAGGATCCCCTAGATGTTCTAATGCATCTCAATGTGATATAACAAGGGTGCATCCAAGAAGTGCAGATGAACAGTAATATCCTATATGTAGCTTTAAAACCCAGAATGAAGGGTAAGGTAAATACTGGATTTATGGGTATCAGTTGTCCTCTTTAAATCAACCTCCACTCCACTTTATTCCTATTTCCACTGCATTTCTTTTTGTTACAAATRACTTTGAAAAGGCTAGTATGCTGTTTCATTGAATAACCACTCCACCCCTCTCCGTTCCATTGCTTTATCTTATCTTCTTTTATTTCATTCATTTCAAATTATTCTCTTTCATCTGTTCTCTTCTATTTTCTTTTATGTTCTCATCAATTGTTCGCATTCCTTTCCTGTCCTGTCCCTGACTAAGCCAGCCAAGTTCATCCCATCGTGTGAGTCACATCCCATCTCAATAGCATCTTCTCTCCCATCTTCTCTTCTTTCCTCTCCTCTTCCCTCCTCTCTTCTCTCCACTTATTTTAATTAATAAATATTTGTGCTTTTTTTGCAGTACTCTTGAGATGGTTCTGGCACTGCTAGAAACCAATCTAATCCTCTCTATAATCATTTGTCTGCTAGCCATCGAAGCTCGTTCAGGTCTGCTGGCAGTTGATATAGGAAACTCACGTTTCTCAGTCAGGTCATATCCTAGTTTATTTGCACAAAGGGTTGCTGGAATCCCTGGACGACTCATGRGGTTTATCATCTCTCAATAGAAAAACCATGTGCATATAACTTAAGGACGATTTTATGCTGGATAAGATGGAAATTCCGTGTCAGAGGATGAATGAAACTCAAGTCAGAGAGTTGCGTTAAGAGGTTCAAGGTAATTGCTCATCAATCAGTAGTCTATCCGGAATTGTAAATTCCTCTCACCACTGGAGTGCCTTAACAGAATCATAGACCTTGAAAGTTCAGTTGAAAGTCCCAATTCACCGTTAACTGTCTTGTACTGCCTTGGTTTACAATGCTACACGTCCTACACCCTAGAAAGCGCAACTGACTAAACGATATGCAGAGTTTACACCTAATCAAAGTGAAGCTAGAAACATCGARTAAAAAATGTTGTTATATCCATTTTGCTGTCTTAGCGTCTGTACGTTCTTGCGTCTGCCTACATCTGTTAGTCAGTCTTTTTGTCTGTCCGTCTGTCTCCATCCGTTAGTCAGTGTCTGTCATTCCAATCTAATTATATACCGTGGATGTATTTTGATTTCAGAAGCTGAGCCAACCAAGAAATCAAAGTAATAGCTCAATTCAAGGACAAGGCTGGCTTGGAGAAGCGCACTATCTATCAATCAAGAAAGCGACGCCTACAGTCATACAGAAACTTGATACGTCAAACTCAACAAAACGTGAGTCTTTTGTTCACATTTGAAAAATAGAGTAAACGATCGTTGTGAGTAACATAATTATAAATTCTTAAAATGCGTTCGTGTTTTTTCACTGATTACAGACTTATTTGCTCGGGTTTCGCCTCATTTTAGCTTCAAAATATTCACAAAAACCAACGGTCAAGTAGAAAATGCACATCAACTTCAACAATACAAAACATTATAAAATTCCGGAACACTTACAAAAAAAAAAACATACCGTTAAACACTTTTCTGTTCACTTTGATTTCTCTAACTAAACAGGGTTTTTCTGTCGACTTGAGCTAAATATTCTAAAAGTCCTAATAGAGACCTTTAGCACGATGTTCTTGCCCGTACCGCTAACGCC